GTACCTGGGGCCCTGACACACCATTCAGGTCTGTCTAAATTGTAATTAATGTAATGTAATGTAATATGTTTTGAATGTAATATTTTTATTCCATAGTCCAATTGTACTGGCGATATGTTTATATTATAATGAATGGATTTCAATGTATTATTGGCACACTTGTTCATTGTAGTTATTATAACAATTGTTGAATTATCTGGTACAATACAACCATGTATTATTCTGTCTTCTCAATGGCATTTAATCTTTCGAAAATCCTTTCATTACATTAAATGTTACGTTTGTATTGATGTCCCAATATTTCTGGAAGTATTGTTTTTTAAAAAAGCACTAACTTTTAGGAATCACATCATCCAAAGTTCAAGATCAGGCAAAATCTTTCAACAAAAATGTCATTGAGGTTCCAGAACAACAAAGTCACCAGGTCTCAGCCTCTACAATGTTGGAAGCTGTGCCTGACTTGGTAGTAGTAGTCATGGCTCGGTCAAGCATGACCTTATCCCATCACTGATGAGTCGAGCACTTTTTCCAGAACAGGCCAGATTGGCTTCATCTTGGTGAGAGGTGGTGGGACTGGAAATCACATTTGAGAAGGACATGTGAACAATAGATTTAGCAAAGATATTTTCTGCTCTTTGGTCAGTTGAGGACTTGAGACTCGATCAGATAGAGATTTTAGGGACTTTACTACACAGAGACTGTATATCAGCTCAACCTCGCAAGATGCCAGTATCTGTGACAGTAACAAGGACAGTTCAATTCAGGGCAGGACACATGTATGGCCACTTGGGTTAGCCAGGACCCACTGTCCATACAGGAGAAACTGCATGCCTCCACCCATCAGCTTTAGTATTGATGAACTGGCACAAGCAGAGGAGATTACTTAGTATTGGATTGTGTAGAAGCAGTTCGTGATTAAAATGCTTATTCACTAACCCTATACTTAGTTTAATCCTGCATAACCTAGCTAATATAACCTTTAACTAATGTGACCCTTCAGGGCTTGTCACACCATAAATATAACTATGAAAACAGTAAACATTTGTTCTATCTGAGAAGGGTCTACAGTAGATGGCAGAATATGGACCACGCTTCACCGTATAGTTGTAGACTGACTCCTACAAATAGTCCTCCGAAACTTATTTATACATTTATTATAGGACACTAATACCCAATACCTCTGCACCTTAAGTTCAAATCCTTAAAATACCCTGTTAGCGGCTGTGGTGAACTTATGCTCTGGGTAGATATTGGCGTTGATCAAAGCTCTTGGATGTTGTGGGAATTGGTTTAAGACTTGTTTATCTAGGAGCAGTTATGCGTCCGCTCTTTATGCTTAAACCATCTGCTTGACTCTGACTTCGGTTGCCTTTCTACAAGCATGGACCTGGGACAGGGTGAGATTTTTCTAGATGGAAATTGGCTAGCTTTTCAGCTCTGTGGGGGGTAGCTGCAGAGGTCTCTTGTGTTCTGTATTCAAGAACAGTTTTAGGAAGCATCTAGACTTTGGGGATAATTTCTTTATGGTTAAGGCTCCTAGCCATCAGTGCTGCACTCTTTTTGACAGTTTTTGCTTAAGGTCTCAACAAAACTAGCTAATATGGTTCTTCACTTTGGGCATGGAAGTGAATTTCCAACCTTTTTTTCAGTTGTCTGCATCAATGGAAACGGTCAAGTTTTGTTTTTTAGATTTTGGCAGAGGGAGAAGTCGCATCAGAGCTACTGGAAGCAGCAGGAATCTTGAAAATAAGTTAACACAAAGGAAATTCATTATATTCCAGTTACATATCATATATGCAGTCATAAATCTGGCGTTTTCCGGATGGCTTGAGGAAAACAGGTAAGGCTATCATCACAGGATTTGAGATGCCAAACTGTGTTTATTGTGGTCTTTGCTTGTCTTAGCTCATCTTTGCCAACAGGGAACTTGTGACTGACAAATGGCACAAAGCTTACAGATTTAGGCAGAAAATAGTATGTTATACTTTAATAAATCGCTCCGACATTAGGTATGATGGAAATATAATGAAAATCCCTCAAAGAAGATGAAATGGTTGACGAAAGACAAGCAATTATTGTCTAATGTTTATTTGTGTCTGATGAATTAACCAGAGCAAGAATACCAAAGGGGGGCACATATAAACATTAACTATATTGAATCATAATTAGTTCTGGTTACACAGTGTCCCAAAATAACTTCTATCCAATTTGGTTTTTGCTCGTTAACGTGTCACCGTACCTTTTTACCATTTGGATGGCATCGGGCCATTGCACTGCTCTGGTTGTGCAGGAAGTGTATCTCCCATTTTTCCAGCTTCATGTTGAAAAAAGAATGCCTACATGAGAACATGATTCTGTTGGTTGTGAATAGAATACAATATGACATTTTTTAAAACTCAAATGCAATTAACCAGGGGGCCAAAGTGCAAATTATATCAGCACATTTTGATGATGTGAATATAGGACCATATTATATAATATGGTTGACATTATTCATGTTTATCTTAAAGCTCTCTCCCCGCTGGTTTTTTTTTGCTATTAGCTAACCACTAATGGTTACTAACAGACTGGGAGCTTGAGGCACCAGGGCTCCCGGCAGCCCAAAGTTCCTGTACTACGGATGTAACGACAACTGACGCTGCCGCGGTGCCCTGTTGACCAGCTAGTAGCTAACTGCACCTAAGGCTATATTTCTATCAGAGAACTCCGTAAATCACTAAAAGTTGTAGCAGAGCAACTGAAGGACATCAGAGGCAAGACCAGAAAATATTTTAAATAAAATATGATCCAGTTTCACCAAAATCAGTGAATAAAGTTGCAAAAGTTGTGTGCTTTTTGTACAGTAATCAGATGTTTACAGATGCCATAACACATTAAGACATTATCATTGGCTGTATCTCAACAGAGATGAAAAAGAAACAAAAAGGCGTCCTCGTTAGCTACTTCCATAATCAGCTTGCCATGTGTTGGATGCAATATGAAATTTTTGTAAAAAAAAATAAATAAATAAAGTTCTTCTCAGTACTAGCTAAGTAAACATTAATAACTAAAACTTTTGGCACCACTTTTTTGTCTATGACAAAGTTGTGAATGACTGTGACATCAAAAGCTTGCCGTCAGACAGCCCTTTCTGACAGGGAATTGCAAGCGTTATATCTATCTATGCTCTCTCCAAAGCCACCAGACTGACTTTGGTTGTTTAACAGATTCATTTGGATCATTAAAGTCAAACAATAACACAAACTAATTGATCGAGGCAGCAGTTGACCGGGAACTAGTCTAACGTCCTGAGTTCCCTGTTTAAACTATCCACCTACTTGCCTGGTATGCATACTTTTTCAGTTGTTTTTGTGGATCTGTGTGCACAAAGATTGTTATTACAATGTGTTTGTTTGAGCCAGAACTTTTTTTAAATGTAAAAAAAGAGAAAAACTTTTGTTTTTAACTTAACTGTTGTTGTGTAAACAGGAACTAAATGGAACCAAACCTTTATCAGTATCAATGGCAACACATATATTTACCTTACTATTTCTTGTCCAAACGGCTGCTGTGAAAAAGATCATAACGCTGAAAGGTCCTAGGAAATTGGACTGCGTCTGGACAAGCATGCATTTTGGCATTGTGCCCTTTTTCTACAACACAAGTCTGTTCAAAATATAGGTCAGTGTTACTCCACTATAATAAATCATATTGTGGATTTCTCCCAGCTGCATGGCTGTCTGCAGCACACACTTAGATAACACAATTAGAAAAACGTCTTGGTCCTCTTTGGTTTATTTTAGAGTACTGTTTTGTATTTCATGCTTTTCTTTACCATTGTAAATGTGTACTTTAGGTCATTCTTATTTTACATAATACTTTTCCTCTACCATGTTTTGTTACCCTTTCTTACCATTAAAATATGTAGAAATGCTCCAATAATATCTATAATGTTTAAGTAAGTTTTTCAAAATGAATACATTCAGCCTTTACTAGTGATGACATGCTCGTATTAATTATTATAACATATTTCTGAACAATATGATGTCATAATAGTTTACCTTCTTGCCTTGCTGAAACACCATATAAATGTTTGCTAAGAACTTAGCACTCCCATTTGGAGGTAAGTGCCTGGTAATGATGCCAAAGTACAAAACCAGCATGTCTATTCTAATTGACTGATCAACGTTGTTCAAACTCAAAGCTGAAAACAATGTATGGAAAAAGTCAAAAGACCTTCTGAGCAAAGCAAAGACATTTATTCCATCAAACTGGTGGAGGTCCTCCACTGAAAACGTCAATATACAGTGACTTGACTTTACGCCTTCTCCTGACTAGGTGTATGATTTATGTCCAGTCATAGCAAGAAGAACGCCAGTGTGTAGGATTTAGTGTCATCCTGTGGTGAAGTTGCAGATTCCAAGTAACTGAACACCGCTCGTGTCTGTATTTGACGACCTGGGAATGAGAATGGGCTGTGTAGGAGAAACTACAGTGGCTGCAAAACTTTCAAAAAATGCAAAAGGTCCTATCTACAGCCAGTAATTGGTTTGTCCTTTCTGGGATACTGTAAAGACATGGTGGTTCAACATGGCTTCAATAGAAGCAACTCACAACATAATTGACATGTAGATAAAAACGGCCTATTCTAAGGTTATGAAAACTCAATGATTCTTATATTCAATTGTTATACACAAACATACCTATGAATATCATATTTCATTTCTGCAGGTAGGTCCTCCTAAATATGAACCCTTAAATCTAGATGGTGCAACTGTGTAACCATTAGGTAATCCCTGTTGGTGCAATCGGCCTTTGCTCTATAAAGCAGCAGTTCCCAACACCGTGGCTGCAGACCATTACTAGGCCATGGTAAAGAATAACAGTAAGTTGTCAGCATCAGAGGTAGCCAGCCTGGTTGCAATCATTTTTAGCATTCAAATATTTGTAAGAACACAACCTGACAGCTGCTAAGAGTAAGTTACCACAATGAAACACAAACTTCTGCCTCCGGCCCCATGTGAGACTACCCACTTGTGTTAAAAATAAACCAATGACCTGTCAAGAGCTGGGAAGGAAAGAGTGATTATGGCTGAAAGCGATTAGTGTCTGTCTACAGTAACTTTATCACTGAACCCCAAAAAGAGTTTCCTTTGTGTTTCTTTCCTCTACATTCCAGCATGGGAGACTTGTTTCCACTCAGGAATGTTTATAATCATGGCCATGAGGAGAGCTCAGCCTTGTTTCCACACAGTCAGGTATTGTATTACTTTTGCTGAATAGCTCCTAAATGTTTCCTAAGAAACGTCCCATCAGTCATCGCCTATGACCTAGATTTCAAGATGAGGACACATGGACAAAATTATGAATAACCACAACATCGAGACATTACAGATGCAACAAAAAGTTCCAAGTGTGTGAAAACTTTATTTGGAGAAAAAAGTTGCTTCCAAAGGCTGATGTAGAGTATTGCTTTGTTGGCAACTTACATGTAAACATTTGGTTTTGTCGATGTGATAAAAGCATGAGTCTATTCATACTAAAAGCACAAATAGCTATGAACCACAGCACCAGCAGTGGTGAGACTACATAAAAAATATGCTCACATTTTGTGCTCTTCATTCCAACAGAGTACATCATTTAATCAACACATGTGGTTCACATTTGGTTATGGAATGACATCAGGATCATGCCAACCATAAACCAGAGATACATGTCAATTTTAAACATCTGCTTGACACAGACACTCAATTGTGATTCTATAAAGTATAATTTGACACAAAGCATAACATTTTGAAAATGTTCTGAAATTAATGGCATATTTTATATTCTGCTAAATGTTTTGTTGTGTTTATTGTAGAGGCTCATAAGGTCTGTTGGAAACTTACCTATTAACTAAAGCTGGTTAAAGGACCAGTGTGTAGGATTAAGTGGCATCTGATGGTTAAGGAGATTGCAACCAAATGAATTCCTCTCGCCTTTGAAACTACACTTTGTTAGGGTTAAAAACACAGCCCACAACAATGCCCTATCTAGATAGATAGGGCATTGTAGAGGATGAAGGTAGGTTTGTTTGGCCAAACCAAACCCTGGCTCTAGAACATGGCAGTTCAACATGGAGGACTGTAGAGTCCTCCCATTTTAAGGTAACGAAAACATGATTCCTATGAAAACCTACCTATGAATACTATATAGCATTTCTGACAATGGATCCTCCTGAATGTAAACACAAGACCATAAAAGGAAAGCTTTAATAAAAGGGAAATTACTTTTGGCCACCAAACTCAGGCACCTACATTTCATCTCTGTGGACACTACAGAGATTGGTCCAGGATTTATTTTTTTTGTGCACAAAAACATTTAGTTGGTTTCAGTAGCCAGCAGTCTTATTATGCCAAGCAATGACTGTTGAAAATGAACAAATATTTGTATAGTAAAATTAAATAAATGCCTTTATGTATTGTGACTGTCACTTCTAGTGACCCCTTGCCACAGAGATCCACAGAGAATTATTACAAACTCTGCAGTTTACCTCAGGGCTATGGAGCTTTTTAGCTTCTTTGGTTTTTTGGCCCACAACTTATTTTGGATCATCAACCTCATTTCTGCTGCTATTCTTAATGAAAAAGCTCTAAAAACCTATGGTACACCACCTGCCGGCAGACAGAGTGGGATTACAAACTGGTGAACATAGTGGAGCATTTAATTCAATTCAATTTTATTTGTATAGCGCCAATTCATAACAGAAGTTATCTCAGGACACTTTTCAAATAGCAGGTCTAGACCGA